TCTCAGGGGAGGGGCAGGCGGCCAGTGCAGTCTCAGCCGGCAGCCAAGCGGGCAAAGCCCGCCGATACGAGATCTGGAGGCCAGAAGGGCCATACTTGTGGGAAGTGCGGACATGATGGAGTGTTTCGAGCAGGTGCTTGCTAAAAATGTGGCAAGGAGGGGCATATAGCCAAGGATTGCCCCAAGGGATTTATGGTTTGCTTTCATTGCAACCAGACTGGCCATCGGAAGGCCGAGTGCCCACAGCTACTTCAGGGATCTGCACCTACTGCTAGAGCTACCGAGGTCCGGCCGGCAAAGGCCGAGGCACCGAAGGCTCGGGGGAGAGCCTTTCAGTTGAGAGCGGAGGAGGTTCGCACAGCGCCCGATGTCGTGGCTGGTATGTATTCTTTCATTTACTTATACTGAGTTTGAGATATTGTTCTTATATTGTGGTATGCATAGGTACTTTTCTTGTGAGTTCTGTACCTGCTTTCGTGTTATTTGACTCGGGTGCGAGTCGATCTTTCGTGTCATTAGCGTTTAGCCAGCACATCAGTATCTGACGAGAGGCGTTGAGTCGACCTCTACGAGTTTCTATAGCCGACGAGCGAGCGGTGTATGCTACTGATGTGATTCGAGGATGTGTACTCGAGATTTTCGGTGTTGAGTTCCCGATAGATCTGGTACCGATTGCAATGGGGGATGTCTGTGTCATCGTGCACATGGACTGGTTGAGCCGATTCGGAGCTGTTATCGACTGTGAGCGTCAGTTGGTGACCATACGAGACCCTAGTGGGGGAGTACTTATGGTGTATGGTGAGGGTACCCCATCTGGGTCAACATTTTGCTCGGCTGCCGGAGCGAGACAGAGTCTACAGCAGGGCTGTAGAGGGTTTGTAGCCTATGTGATGGACGCGCGAGTTTTCGCAGAGAGGTCGAGTTCTGTCGGCAAAGTACCGATTGTGCGAGAGTTTCCAGATGTTTTCCCCGAGGAGTTGCCGGGTGTGCCTCCCGAGAGGCAGGTGGAGTTTCGCATCGATTTGATTCCGGGGGTGGCGCCTATTGCCAAGCCACCCTATCGCCTTGCACCACCGAAGATGCAGGAGTTATCCTTGCAGATCCAGGAGCTGTTGGGAAAGGGATTCATCCGACCCAGTAGCTCGCCGTGGGGAGCGACGATCCTTTTCGTCAAGAAAAAGGATGGTTCACACCGGATGTGCATCGATTACCGGGAGTTGAACAAGTTAACGGTCAAGAACCGTAATCCATTACCGAGGATCGAGGATATGTTCGATCATTTGCAGGGTGCGTCTTGGTTTTCCAAGATAGACTTGAGGTCTGGATATCACCAGATGAGGGTGTGTGATGAGGATATCCAGAAGACGGCGTTTAGGACTCGTTATGGGCATTACGAGTTCGTGGTGATGCCTTTTGGGCTCACCAATGCACCAGCAGCGTTCATGGATCTCATGAACCGAGTATGCAGGCCGATGTTGGATCGATCAGTGATTGTGTTCATCGACGATATTCTAGTGTATTCGAGATCCAGAGAGCAGCATGAGGATCATCAGAGGGAGATCCTTGGAGTATTGAGATCAGAGAGGCTATATGCCAAATTCTCGAAGTGTGATTTCTGGTTACGAGAGGTCCAGTTCTTGGGACATCTCGTTAATCAGAATGGGATATTGGTCGATCCGGCCAAGATTGACGCTGTTATGAGTTGGGAGATGCCGAGATCCCCCACCGAGATCAGGAGTTTTCTGGGGTTGGCCGGCTATTATCGGAGATTTATCAGGGATTTCTCCAAGATTGCCGTTACCCTCACCAGATTGACCCGGAAGGGTGTTGCTTTTATTTGGGGTCCCGAGCAGCAGAACTCGTTTGAGACTGTTCGCCAGAGATTATGCGAAGCCCCGGTGTTAGCCCTTCCGGAGGGAATGGAGAATTTTGTGGTTTACTGTGATGCGTCTATATCAGGGTTGGGTGCTGTGCTTATGCAGATAGGACACGTGATAGCATACGCATCGAGGCAGCTGAAGCCTCATGAGATGAGGTATCCCACCCACAATTTGGAGTTGGGGGCAGTGGTGTTCGCCCTCAAGATATGGCGCCATTTTTTGTATGGGGTTCGGTGTACCATATACACGGACCACAAGACTTTGAAGTATCTGATGGATCAGCCCAACCTGAATATGCGCTGATGAATCAGAGAATCAACTATTAATCAAAATCAGAGTAAAATGAATGCAGATTGAACAAACGATGTAAATAAGATCTGGTTTTTGCTCATTTATGCTTTCAACATTTACAGAGAAAAATAGACAGGTTCTATAAAAGACTCTTATCTAACTCTAGTAAAGTTCCATATTTATAGGAACAATGAAAGCATACAAAAAATACTAAGGCATTGACACTTAAGCTTCGTACGAAATACACCTTAGTAAATAAACTTAACAAACATAAGAAGGGTACAAAAGACTTCGACATATTACAACTAAATTCGACCCTTACAATCTCCCCCTTTGTAATAATGTCGACCTTCGTCAATTCAAGAGTATCAGTATAGCATACAGCATAACCCTTCGAATCTCAGTGTAGCACGAGATAATCTTCTTCAGCTCCTTCTTATCTCCTTCGTTATTCTTCTAGCAGCTATTCATATGAACAATGAAATTCGTATATTGGTATGTTGTGTATCTTTCCACTTCGGAAGCTTTAAAAAAAATCTTTTAGACTTTCCATTTTTATCCTTTCCAGCAAAGACTAAGCCAAATGGCTTTAAACAAATTTCCCCGTCTGCATACTTCTTCAACTCAGGTTGAGTTAAAGGAAGTTCCATTGGCACTTTTACTGTCAATCCCTTTGCAGTAGCTAACTCAACATCTGTAAGTCCTAAACACTCATAATAGTTGTCAAAAAAAATCTTGATGTGAGCCATCCCAAGTCGAAAAACTTCAGGATCAGTTTCTCTAAGATATGAAGCATCTTTATCCTTTAACAACAATGCAACTTGTATCAGATCATACAAGTTCATCAAAGGAAAATCTACCACTGAGAAATCACAAACTTGCCCATTTGCCCTCGAAACAATGAAGCAAAGATTTTGCATCATATTTTCGAATAACACATCCCTCTTTATACTTATCACCTTCTCTATCTTCACTAGTGACCAAATCTCCTCTGGAAGCTTTCCAAGTACAACATGAAATCTGACCTTCATGTATGTGTACTCATCATCATTGTCAAAATTCTCAGAAATTTTGTACTGAGCCATAATAAACATCATCTCATTAACAGGAAAATCCAATTGACTCATGTCTGTGTTGAGAACAACATAGGTTTGCTTTGGCTTCTTTTCGAAAGCATACATATGATTATATGAAACTTTTGACTCTATCGTTTCATAGTTGTAATGCTTTGAAGGATCACCCTTGTTCATTCCAGGTGGATCGTTCGCACGAAGTCGCATAATGCTTTGCACAATTCATAGCTTTTCAACCTCAACCTCTACTTCAGCTTTCTTTTCCTCCTTTGACTTTTCGACCACAATCGTTTTGCCTTTGTCTTTAACTGAGGAATTATCAACAACTTCCTTAGGCTTCGAACTGCTGCCACCTTCCCCAATCACAAGTCCTTTGGAAATTGGTCTTGAAATTGGCTTCGTTGAAATTGGCATTGTTGTCACAATAGTCGAAGTAACTGGCCCAGCTGTTGACATGATTGGTTTTGTTATTGGAATCTTCGAAGAAAACACCGTTCCAACAACCTTTGCATCTACATGCAAATCTTCACCACCAGCCTTCGTTCCACCAACATTCTTCTCTCCCCTTGCACCCCTGTGAAAGCAGGTGGGGCATTCGTTGGAAGAAGGCTCGAAATGTGAGAAAGAGGAGCTAATTGTTTGTGTAAAATGGCTTCAAAATGAAGGAACTTCTGAGACAAAAATTCCGGAGTAATCAACGAAGATGAAACTGATTTAACAGTTAAATCTTTTAGCTCCTTCAGCAGCTTGAGCACTTCCATAAAACTTTGATTTTCCGTTGTAGAAAGTTGAGTAAGTTGAGGACTCAAATCTTCGTACAACTTGACATATTTGGTAACAGCATCACAAATAATGTCAACTTTTTGATTGATCGAAGCATAATTCCTTTGCACAATTGTAATCTCCTTTTGCATCTCCTGACGAAGCTCCTGAATTTTCAAATTCATATCCTCCCTAACTTTCTTGACATCCTGAACAAATAACACATGTCGTTCCTTTACCAAATTCTTGAATTCTTTCACCTCCCCTCTAAACATCGAAGTTAAAGAATTCACTCTTAACTCATCATTCTGATCATTGTGATCAACCTTCTCCAAGATTCTAATCTCTGAGTCTCGAACCATTCCAGAAACTTTACTCACCACTTTTACTTCGAAGGTTTTCAACAAATTATCAACTTCCATACTGGATACAGACGAACTACTCCCCAAATCTGCTTGAGATTGAAGAATAGAATTCAATTTCTTGTTGAGAATCATGAATTGTTTCATCGTCATCAACATATGATCAGGAAAGTTATCTTCTTCATCATCAAACAGCAAATCTTCAAACATGCCTCCAAAACCTTCGTTGTCAGTATCAGTCTCAACAACAGGTGGACTTTTAACAGGTGAATCGATTTTGGGTGAATCAGTGGATTGAGATGGAAAAAGAGTTGTAAAGGTTGATGAGAATGTTTTCAAATGTAGGTGATTGAATTGGCAGGAATACCTAAGTTGTTGTAGCACCAACTTTTGTTCGACTCTCCCTCACCCATATTGACATTTACATCCGTATCAGATACATGTGTAAAAATGCCTGAAGTTCGAACCTCCTCAGTATGTGATTCAGTTAACGAAACTTCGGGTGGTATGACTGTAGGCTTATCAGGAGTAGATATAGATTGAAAAATAATTGTTTCTGGTGTTTCAGGAACAATCTCTTCTTCGGATGACTCCTCTTATATACGCAATTTTCGTTGTCTTTTCTTCTTCTTTTAAATGTGTTTAGCCATGTCTTCAGCTCTACGTTTCTTTGACAAAGGCGAAACTGGAGCTGGAACCTCACGAAAAATGACTCCTTGATGAGAAAGTTGTGGTTTACGAACATTTGAAGGTGAAGATTTTAATAAACCATCTGAAGATTTTCGTGAACCACTAGCGCTCTTCTTTAATCTTCGAAAAACACCAGATTTGGAAGGAGTTTTCTCTATAACTATAGTATCATCAACAGGTTCCACTGGTTTTATGGCAACAGTCGAAACATTCACTTCTGCCGTCTCAGGCTTCTTTGGGGACATCTTGGATTCGTGCACAAGCTTCTCAGGAGACTTCTTAGTTTCGTGCACTGGCTTCTCAGGTGTAGCCTTTGCATCCTTCTTAGAACGTTTTGATTTCTTCAAAGGACCAGCCTCTTTTCTTTCGACAATAACTTTCCAGTCTCAACATCAGGATTAATGGTTTTCAAGTACTCAACCAACACCGAATTTGTTGGCTCAACCCTTTTTAGCATTGCATCAGGAATCCTGGCAATGTGTGTGAATACTTCCATATCATCTGAAACTTCCTTTGGGAAGTGATACTTCATAAACTCAGCTTTTTCTTTATCAGCAGGTACAACAATTCCTTCTTTTTCATAGAAATAACCAAGTATCAAACTCCAATACCTAGCACACGAAATGTCTTGAACCACATTCGTGTTTTCGACACTCTTTTGGAATTCCTTCCACAGTTGTGTAGAGTAGTCGACAGAAAGATCATAGTACAAGCCTGCCACCATCGCATAAACCTCCATGCGACCTTTGTCTAATCCAACACTTCGACCAGTCAAGCATCGAAGAAAAATTCCAAACAAAAAATTCCAAACAGTTGGAAGAGCTGACTTCTTGAAATCACTAATCTTCGTGAGTGGGGGTTGATGACCCATCTCATTAAACATATGAACAACTTGTGCATAAGTGAGACCAGTAACAAGTTAAGAATTAGGAATATCCAGAATCTGGCAAAAGATCTTCTTGGACAAACAAATTTTCTTGTCATTCACCAGTTGAAAGGTGATGATATCCATTTCTTTGCTATACGTAGCAGTGGATCCTGCCTGTGAAAGCCATGAGAGAGGAACTGCGAACGAGTTGAACATCGCCTTCGAAAGAACAGAACTCTTCAATGCGACAATTAACATCTTCAATTCTTCAGGATAGAGAGACACATCCCCTTCCACTTGATAATTGGTGCTTTGAATCTTCATTATTGGTTGAGAAGTGATGTCTTCAGTTGTGCGAGAAGCAGAATCAACGCCAGCCATGATTAGGGCTTTGAAGATTTGAAGAACAGAGAGATTTTGGGTATTTGTTTTCTTTTGTGAGCGTAAAGAGACAACGAACCCATAAATACCCTTTTTATATGTAACCCTGAATTTGAATGGAACGCGGGGATAAGCATTATTTGAGATCTGACGTGGCACCTTGAAAGTCGCACCAGTCTGCCAATAAAGTTGCCATGCGTCAAAAAGTAACTGTCACACGCCTTGAAACCAGGACTGAATACAAAAACGTCTCATCAGACAGTCTGTTCGTGTCACCTTAAGGAATAGTAACCGTCATCAACCTTCGGATGGAGGTTAAGCTCTTTCGTCTTTGGGTTTAGAGACGAAGTCATTGTCCAGACTGTCGAAATCATCAGCCTGAGTTGGTAGTAGTACTCAGAACCTCAAGGATTTCGTGTGTGCAGTGTGCCAAAGAAAAGATAAGAAACAAATTTAACGAAAATTTGGATCTGTGATGTCAAAAACATTTCGACACAAAAGCAGAGAAACCCCGGGCAAAGGTTGCTTCATTAATTATCAAGAGAGATAATCAAATACTTATAGAGAAGTATCGAATGGCTTCTTTTGTGAGGTTTATTGGGTGGTTTATAATTTCGTTACATATCATCCTAAACATAAGGTGAGTAATTGTAACAGAAATTACCTGTTTGACCAGTGTAGTCAGTGACAAGTATGCTTTGAAGTTTGTTGATAGTAACTTTGAAAGCAAATGAAACTCATACAGAAATCATATTCATGAAAAAAATATTTGTTCTAGATCCTGTTGGGTAACAAACATCGTGGACTTCGATAGTTTGATCAAGATCACTCATGAGAATTGAATATGATTTTGAGTTTCGAAAAATGGTACTGAAACAAATGTTTCATCAAATCTGGAACATAGTTCCCCGTCAATTCCTTACTAAGATATAAAGCTGGGTTTCACTTTCATTACGGCCTCATGATGTCAGATCATTAACACAGAATTTTGATATATCTAAATCTTGATGGGTCGAATCAACGATCTCTTGGACATATGTCTTCGTGTGTGCAAGTGTAAGAAATTTGGTGATGAAAAAGATTGGTTTTGAGTAACAAATTGTACCTCTGTTATTTTCGGACAAAACAGATAACTCTTAACTCATGTGAGAAGAGTAAGGTAGCTCAATCGACTAATGTGAATATAAGCCTGACTTGGGAAGAAATTTTAGTATGAAAAATTTCATTAAGGCTTTCATAAACACACATTGAGTCTACAGAGGCTTGGGTCAACATGCTGCAACATGCTTCTAGGGACAGTCTAACTAGTACATAGTTGTCGAAAGTTTACCTTCCCATAGAAACACAAGCATAACCCTTGAAGAATTTTCGTGTTATCTGCACAAAGAGAAAGAAACAAAGAAAATAACAAAAATCTTTTATATTTGATTTTCTAACAGAAAGAAAATATTTTTCGAAAATAAAACCATTAACAAAGAAAATCTTTTTGGTATTTTTGTTTTTCGAAAAGATAACAACAAAACAAAAAATTAAATCTTTTTGGAGTTTTTGATTTTCGAAATTAAACTAAGATACAAACTTACGAAAAACATTTTTACAAACAAACGAAAATTTGTAAACAAACTACAATTTGCCATTTTAAGAAAAATTTGGCACCTAACGAAAATTTTGTACCACACAACAATCATGAAAATTGTCGAATTCGAAGCGTGTCGAAGCGTTGACTATGAACAGTAACCGCTGAATGAAATCTTATTGCCTCTGAATCGACAC